ATTGACTCTTAGATGCTTCGTCACAACCTCTTCCCAATACTATGTATAGAGTATGTTTGACATATAAATATTGAAATAAGATTTTAGGTTCTCAAGTCAACAAATATAAAAACATCAATGTCTATGAAGTTAAAATGTTTATTGTTCTCATTATTCTTAATTTATTATATGAGACTAAAACGGAGAAAAACACAAAAGATGGCAAAATAGACAATGGATCGTGAAACTAATTAATCAACAGAGAAAACAGCAAGGAGAATATGAAAATCTATTTCAAGAATTAAAAACTGATGAAGACATGTTTGTCAAATATGTCAGGATGAATGTTCAATATTTTAACAAGTTATCAATCATGCTAAGATCTTACCTGGTAAAAAAAACTAAGAAAGGTCTGTCTCCGGAACCTTAATAATAACATTAAGGTAAATATGATTTATTAGTAAAAAATTGTTTGATATAACTACTTCTTAAATTTTTAGTTATGTTTAGAAATCATTGTTAGAAAAAAATGTTTCACGAAATTATAAACTATATAGCAAAAATTGTGATACATTTTTCAGATATCTTGCAACAGGGAATTCAGTAACAAATATTGTATTTTCTTTTCGAGTTGGGCAGTCAACTGTTAGTTAATAAAAGAAGTATGTCTAGTTATTGTTAATACATTACAGCCTCTATAATTAACATGTCCAACTGAAGAACAATGGAAGAACATTGCTAATGGATCATTATACGAGTACATAATGGAAACGTAACATGTGCGATAAAAAATCCAGGCATACAGATATTACTTTCGGGAAGATAAGCACGTAAAGTGGACAAATTAAGTCCATTATGTTTTAAATATTTTCCAATAATTGACGATTGAAAAATGTCTTCGTCTCTATTTCCTCCATAGGCTCCTATATCAACTAAACTAAATGTATATAAATGATCAGATATTGCCATAAGAACAATGCTGAGTTGTTTCTTATAATTAAAATACAAGCTTCCAGAATTAGGAGGACATCGCAAAACTATGTGTTTTCCGTCAATAACTCCAAAACAGTTAGCCATATTCCATCGATTCCAGTATCCATCAGCAATATTCTTCCACTGTTCTTCAGTTGGACATGCTAAATAGAGGTTATAATGTATTAACTAGACACAATTGCGATTCCATCCTGCTAATTCTGGAAGTTTGTATTTTAATTATAAGAAACATTTCAGCATTGTTCTTATGGCAATATCTGATCATTTATATACACTTAGTTTAGTTGATATAGGAGCCTATGGAGGAAATAGTAACGAAGACATTTTTGCATCGTCAATTATTGGAAAATATTTAAAACATAATGGACTTAATTTGTCCACTTCACGTGCTTATCTTCCCGAAAGTAATATCTGTATGCCTGGACTTTTTATCGCAGATGTTACATTTCCATTATGTACTCGTATAATGATCCATTAGCAATGTTCTTCCACTGTTTTTCAGTTTGACATGCTAATTATAGAGGCTGTAATGTATTAACAATAACTAGATACACTTCTTTTATTAACTAACAGTTGACTGCCCAGCTCGAAAAGAAAATACAATACTTGTTACTGAATTCCCTGTTGCAAGATATCTGAAAAATGTATCACAATTTTTGCTATATAGTTTATAATTTCGTGAAACATTTTTTTCTAACAATGATTTCTAAACATAACTAAAAATTTAAGAAGTAGTTACATCAAACAATTTTTTACTAATAAATCATATTTACCTTAATGTTATTATTAAGGTTCCGGAGACAGACCTTTCTTAGTTTTTTTTACCAGGTAAGATCTTAGCATGATTGATAACTTGTTAAAATATTGAACATTCATCCTGACATATTTGACAAACATGTCTTCATCAGTTTTTAATTCTTGAAATAGATTTTCATATTCTCCTTGCTGTTTTCTCTGTTGATTAATTAGTCTCACGAGCCATCGTCTATTTTGCTATCTTTTGTGTTTTTCTCCGTTTTAGTCTAATATAATAAATTAAGAATAATGAGAACAATAAACATTTTAATTTCATAGACATTGATGTTTTCATATTTGTTGACTTGAAAAGTTAAAATTTTATTTCAATATTTATGTCAAACATAGTGTTGGGAGGTTATATCGCAATTTTTATAATTTTGTACAGATACATTTAATGTGAAATGCTGCTCAGACAGGCCGTGCGTCATCGATCGAAACAAGTGATAGAGGAAACAATGTCTGGTGAATACGGCGGGTGGGGTAAAACTTCCCAATTGAGTGTTTCCAAGTAGGTTTTGACCGGCGCCGCAACATGTGGACGAACATTATCATGCAGGAGAATAATTTTGTCGTGTCTGGAGTAGTAGTGGGCGCGTTCTTCCTTGAGTGCTCGGCTCAATCTCATCAATTGTGTTCGGTAGAGAGCCCCAGTAATGATTTCGTTCGGTTTGAACAACTCATAATACACGACACCAAGCTGATCTCACCAAATACACAACATGAGTTTTTTCCATGAATATTCGGCTTGGCTGTCGATGTTGAAGCATGGCCACGTGGTCCCCATGATTTCCTCTTCTTTGGGTTATCGTAGTGGATCCATTTTTCATCACCACTGACTATATGATGCAAGAAACCCTTTCGTTTATGCCTGGCAGTATTTCGCATGTGCAAAATCGGCGTTCAACGTTTCTCGGCTTCAGTTCATATGGAACCCAATTTCCTTGCTTTCGAATCATTCCCAACGATTTTAAACGATGTGAAATTGCTTGTTGAGTCACTCCTAATGTAAGTGCAAGTTCTTTTTGCGTTTGGCACGAATCTTCCTCCAATAATGCTTCCAATTCCACGTCTTCGTACACTTTCGGCCTTCTGCTACGTTCTTTGTCTTCGACGTGAAACTCGCCGTTCTTAAACTTTTGAAACCACTCACGACAACTTCTCTCACTTAAAGCAGCCTCACCATATGCTAGTAATCGATGCGCCTCAGCTGCAGATTTCTTCAAATTAAAGAAGTAAATCAAAAGCAAATGACGCTTATTCGGCTCAAAACTCGACATTTTCGCACGAAAAAAATTATGTGATGCTGATACAAAATCGCTAATATTTCAAGATTATGGTGTTGCCAAATGTCCAACCTTACGATATGATGTTTTACATCTGACAATTTCAACCATAACTTACTAGTGGGGCCATCTTTTGTCAAACGGCGGAGACTTATTTGTACTCCCAATAGATTTACGCATTTTTGCGCTTTTTTTGTAGCTTTTGTTCTGTAGCTTTATTTCTCCTAAATATTACGTGGAGCATATTTTATACGGAAAAGCAGAACGAGGAATTATAAAACATTAATTGTAAACGATATTTATTGATTAAAATGTTTTTATTAAACGGATAAGTTGAAAAAAGAAGCGTATTAATAAAAATTGCAATGAATGAAGTAAATATAATTTTTTAAAATGTATATAAATATTTATTTATCACTATACTTTTCCGAATTTCTGCACAAATTGTGCTCCATGTAATATTTATAACAACCAAATCAACGAAACGTGTTTACTCCGTTATATATACTCTTTGTGTGAGCGCATACACAAATCTGTGAAAGAAGATTTAAAAGCTGTAAAGTTTGGCTTATTACGTTTGATTGCCACGTTTTTGCTTGTTGCAAATATGATTTTAAATTATATGTTAATGGCTATGATCACACTGGTAATATGAGCACGAAAGCAACCAAAGAGGTATATGGAAATAACGATGAAAAAAGTTACAAAATTATTTTATATCTGCAATTGTTACAAAAAATTAGAAGACAGACGAAGTCGCAGAATGTGGGTAAGACTCATATTTTCTGAACAACGAAGATTGTTACAAAGAGCCAGTGATAATTTGAAATGCTATTGTCTGATAACGAAAAATATTTTAACTATCTGCGGATGTCACCAACAATGTTCGATGAATTACTGACAATCGTTGGACCTCACATTGAAAAACAGAAAGTAGTTCGTAATCCAATAAGTGTTCGAATAAGATTGCAGGTGACTTTACGATGGTTGGCTTCGGGTGACATGGTATGACTATCTTATGCTTTTTGCTTGTTCCGTATTTCCGCATAAAATTCACGGAAAAGCAGAACGAAACCGCACGGATCCGTTTAGTTACTCGTTACTTTTCCGCATTTACGCAATTCCGTGTTTCCGTACACTCATGTAATCGCACCCTGAGTTGTCTTGAACTATGAAGATACTAGATGATTGTGCCTATTACATTTTTCGACCTTAGTGGAACAAACTCTTACTCGATTTAACGTAAACACCCATTATTTTTCACATTTAAACCACATCGTTTGATACTTAAAAATTTTCATGGAAACTTACACAATTTACATGTAAAGAAGAACATATACGAACAAACTGAAAGTTCACGTAAAATATTTCACGTTTTGAGAATTCACCTTTCACGGTTAACGTTTGTCTCATTTATTAAATTTACTCATATTGTATTATTATATTATATTATAACTATAAATTTACATTGTATAATGCTTATTAATGTGTTATATATTACATTGTGTATACTGTAATTACATTTTAATTTTGATAATCTATATTACATAAATATTGCTTTCCACATTTTGATTGTTCACTTTTCATGTGAAATAACTTAAGCCAGCGGCACACGATGCTTGTTTTCGTGTTGGTTTGGTTGCTGGATGGAAATACTTTGTTCTGATTGGCGCATCTCTGAAGATGGATAGAAACGTACCAATCAAAACAGAGCACTTTCATGCAACAAGCAATCCAGCACGAAAACAAGCATCGTGTGCCGCTGACTTTACAGTGAAAAGTGAAAAATGAAAATGAAGTTCACGTGAAAGATTCATGATTGCTACTCTATGAACTTTCGCTGTACTCGCCAGTTCCAACCAATGTAGTTTTAGTGCAGCACTAGTTCAGTTGAAAAGAACAAACCTATGAACTATGGATTTTCAGTACTGGCAGTGCATTTCGGAACGCAGCCCTCGTACTAAGAACTCGAATTATCGTTAACACTCTATATCTGCAACTTCGTGTCTAAGTTTCGAGCAGGATGGAAGAGATGGACGTTGAAAATGAAGAAAGTAATGAGAAAGGAATCTTTCAAGAAGACATGTACGAAACTGAGGAGAAGATGATAAGCAGCGATACAGACAAGCAAATGGACGTAAAGGTCAATAACAGGGATGAGTCTGATAGTAGTGATGACGACGGCGACGATGATGAGGACGCTAATGAGGCGGAAGTAAAATCTTTAGAGTCTAACCTGGCGAAGAATTCGTACGACTATGGTAGTCACTTAGCTCTGATCAACAAACTGCAGAAAATGGGCGAGCTGAAACGTTTGCGAACCGCTAGAGAGAATATGAGCATTGTGTATCCATTAAGCCCTGAGCTCTGGCTCTCCTGGATACAAGACGAAACAAGTTGTGCAACCACAGCTGAGCAGAAGAACAATATAGTCGAACTTTGCGAGCGAGCTGTCAAAGATTATCTATGTAAGACCCTAATTCATATCAATAAGTTTGAGATTACTTTGAGTTTAATATATTTTTTGTTCAATCAAATAGAGATTCAATAAGAGCTGACAGTATATAGATTATGAATCTATTTTTATATTTTTACATCATTTATATGAAATTAAATGTTTCAGTTAACATTTTTGGCATTCTTTAGTAGAGAAAAACAAATTTGTGCAAAATATCTTAATAGACAATTTTATTAAAGTTAATCTTTATAAACAGAATTAAGAGTCATCTTGACCTGTAACAAGTTAACTTAAGGCTATGTTGTGAGTTCATCAAGAATTCCTGAAATATATGCTATCAGTGCAGTTTCAAATACCCAATAGTATAAACAATTTAATAATAGTTTAATAGAAGTTAATTTAACAGCAGTTTTTTTTTAAAGGAGGTTTTTCAAATATAGAGTAAACTAAGGCAAGTAGTTCGTAAATTTTATACAGGATAATGGTTTTAATCTAACAGGTTCATTTTTGTATGGAATTTCTGATGTTTTTTTATATATTTGTATTTGTAGAATCAAATATATAAAAAATTTGTTTTCGTTGAATATGTACTCAGAATTTCTTCATCATTTCCAGTTTTTTATGATTTATATCACTTGAGATATGTTGTATATGTATAAATATATTCCACAAAATTAAATTTAATTATGGATTTTTATATTCTCTCTCTCTCTTTTTAGTATTATAGATATATTAAATATCTTCTATATAAAAAAGTTCTTTTACTTATGTGATATATTTGTTTATAAACATTCAAGAAAAGTAACAATTGTTTTCCAACAAGATATGATAAAAACTAATGTTTTTGTTATTTTTCAAGACATCATAAATCTAATAAGAAAATCACTAGCTTCTACATTTTAAAGTAAACAAAATATGTCTATATATAAAAAAAAATTAATATTTTGGAAGGTTAAGAATCACATGAAAAACCTTAGAGAAAGGATAGAGAAGATGTTAGTATTTTTTAAATTTAGTATAAAAAGTACTATATAGACCATATAATTTGATTTGTTTGACAAAAGAAGCTTTTTTTTAGTAGACTAGTGTTGTAATCAAACAAAATCAATAAAAAGTATTTTTCAATCGGTTCTTACATGGATTGGTTTCTTTTTTATTTATTGTTATTGAAATAGTTATCCTGTGTGCTAATTACTGATTTAATTACCTTAACTTGTTCTATATTTGAATCTTTTAAAATGCTTATTATTAGATGTTGCTTGTATCATCGAGCATTTAGGATCATTGCATCAGGGGCAGCATATATTTAAGAAGGAATTGTGGACTTGCAACATGATTTTTAACTAATTTGTTATAACTCGACTGTATTTTATAAACAACAGGAATTTTAACAAAATTGACTGTCTATTGTTCAAAATACTTTCCACAAATTTGTTTTGCTCTACTAAAGAGGATCGAAAATGTTGACCAAGATATTTAAGTTTTCATAACTAACATTTGTACATAAATAGATTCACATTTTGTGATAGTTTTTTTATGTTTATTGTATACCTAAGAATCAATTATAATTATGTTTTTTTATATTGATAAATATTTCATAAAATTCTAATATTATGATATATATTTTTTCAGCTGTAGAAGTATGGCTGGAGTACTTGCAGTTCAGTATTGGAAATATGTATACAGAAAAAGATGGGCCTAAAAGTGTTCGTCAACTCTTTGAACGAGCTTTGACTACTGTTGCATTGCATACTGTCAAAGGAGCCATCATATGGGAAGCATTCCGAGAATTTGAAAACGTTCTATTGACACTGGTAAGAATGTTTTAAATAAACATTCTAGTAGAGAAAAATAAATCTTCAGATGAACAATTTCTGAAGTATATAGAGAAAGAAAAATAAAAATTGGCTTTTGTGTAAAAGGTGGAGATAAAAAATTATGGAATTGAACAATAAAGATATTTTAATCTTATTATTGTATTCCTATATATAATTAAAGTGTTATTTCTTATATCTTATATTTTAATAATATGTTGATTAACAACATATATAAAAAGTTTATTTTTTCTCTCTTATTAATTGCATTAAAATTTGTATGTTTAGATCAATACTGAAAATATAGCTGAAAAGAAGGAACAATTGGAGCGCATTGGCAATTTATTTCGACGTCAATTAGCTTGTCCTCTTTTAGACATGAATAAGACGTACGAAGAATACGAATTGTGGCGCGCAGGAAACAGTGCTGAAGTAGTTATAGATGAGAGTATTCTCTTAAGAGGTTACGAACAGGCTACTATAAAACTGAACTCCCTTCTTGCTTATGAAGAAAAGCTTATCTCTGCGCAAGGAGAAAACGAACTGCTCGACGCTTACAAAGGATATTTATTATATGAGAAACAGCAAGGCGACCCAGGACGTATTACAGTTCTATACGAAAGAGCGATAACCGATTTAAGTCTAGATGTGTCAATTTGGTTAGATTATATCACTTATTTAGAAGATAAAATCAAGATTGAAACTGTGTTGGATCCGGTTTATCAAAGAGCATCAAGGAATATTCCATGGTGCTCGAAGATTTGGCAAAAGTGGATAAGATCGTATGAGAGATGGCAAAGGCCTGTACTAAAAGTACAGGAATTACTAGAGAACGCCTTGACTGTTGGCTTCTCAGTAGCAGAAGATTGTCGAAATTTGTGGATCACATATCTTGAGTATTTGCGACGTAGATATGAAATAGTTCTTGAAGAGGAAGAAAAACGTCTGGACATTCTCCTTGACACGTTTAATAGAGCATGCGACTATATGGCTCAGTATTTCGGATTGGATGGCGATCCTGACTGTATTATCCTGCAATATTGGGCGAGAACCGAAGGAATACACGCAAATAATATGGAGAGAGCTCGAGTACTGTGGGCTGATATTCTCTCACAAGAACATTCCACAAAAGCTTCCTACTGGCTGGAATATATAGCATTGGAAAGGTAATTATTAGAACAATAATGAGTTTGGTTCTTAATACTTGCTCTTAATACTCATATTGGTAGGTATATAAAATATAAATTAATAAATATATTTATTTATCTATATATCAGAGTTAGGAATATTACTTTAAGAAATAACACGTTAGAAATATCGTTACTTTTCGTAAAAAGTAACTCGTTACCGTTACTAAGAAAATTCGTTACTTTTTTGTAATACTAAAATATAATATGTAATTGATTTTAAGATGAAGTTATTATTTCTGAGCTTAAATTATTTCTAGCATAGCCAGTTTATCTAAAAAGAACAAATAATGTAAAACTACAATAATCATGACTCGAAAAATTAATATTTCTTTATGAGCTTAATTCTATTTTCTTATTTTTTATCTTTCTTCACATAAAAATTGTTAATACAGAGCCAGATCTTGTAATCTAAAAGAGAAAGAGAATTTTAAAAATTTTTAATAAATTTAATAACAAGTATTTGTGTAATAATATAAGATATATACACACTTGTATCTCATGGTTTCTTAAAAAAATGAACTACATTAAACATACTTATTATTATATTTATTAAAAATTTTTGACCTCTCTCTCTCTCTCTCTTTCTCTCTAAATTGCAAAATCCGACTTTGCATTAACAGTCATCTTAAAAATAAAATAAGATGAAACCACATATTGTCTTTCAGCGAACATCTAGATATTTTAATCCATTTAGAATATCTAACATACACATCATGTATTGCAGAGCTCGGGATAGTTTGCCCATTTCAGGTGATTTTCTGGGGTTACGCCTTCTATATCCCCTCGCTATGCGGCGGGCCATGCAACTGACGGTAGCGGCTCTCAGCGCCGTTGAAACTATAAGGGGCGCATCTATGTAGTGCCTACCAAAAATGCGTTCGGAAAGCATGCTGATCAGGGGTACTATTCCGTTCCCGCATATCGACAGTTGTCGAATCGGTAAGCGTCGTTGCGCAGCTTTTTTATACCGTGGAAAAACTGCGCAACGACACCTACTGGTCCGATAATTATCGGAACCACGGTAACGGAATAGCAGCCCAGCGCTAATGTGTCATTCAATCTTTGTACATGTAATCAGCGATAAAGATAAAATAACGTGTTAGCATGCACAAGGATTGAATGACGCGTTAGCGTTGATCAGCGCGCTTCCCAAATGCATCTTTGGTAGGCACCACATAGATGCGTCTCTTATAATCTCAACAGCCCTGAGGCGGAAAGGCGCGACTGTCACTTGTGAGGCCCGCTGTGCGGCAAAGGGAAGTAGTGGACGTAGCTCTCGAAAATCGCCTCAAATGTGCTAATAATTCCAAGCACTGAGCTAAATATTACTTGGTATTCGTTGAGTATTTACTAATAGATATTAAACGATGTAATAATATTCGATATACGACGAATATTAATATAATGTATATTAGTGAACTAATGACAATTGTGTTTAGATTTTTATTAGAGTATTATAATAGTTAATCCAAACGAGAAAATAATTTAAAACAAATCCAAGAAAATCCAAACCGTGCATATCGAATTAATAAATCTAAAAAAAAAAACAAAGAAATACTATTTCAAATAATAGTGTTTTTTCATCAAATAACATGCTTTCTTCCAATAAAATAAGGATTTTTATTTAAAAAATAATATTTTAATGAAACTAACTAAAATCGAACAAGTACGAATATTAAATCTAAAGAAATTTTTTTTCTCTGAAAAACGAATATATAAGAAGTTTAAGAAATATGGAGTAAAACAAATTCTGGTTTTAATGACCAGAAGCTGCTAACAAGTACTTATAATGTGAAACTAAGTACTATTAATGTGAAACATTATTGAATTTTAAATACAAGTAACAAAAATAGTAAATAGTTAAAAAAAAATTACGTATTTATTATTTTCATAATATTTTTGAAATATTACTGCAACAATGTTGCTGCAAGCTTCTATATGGGACTATTTATTGGAGCAATGTTAGCTATAAATTGAGTAATGTTGGGTCGAATATATCTATTGTTATTGTAAAATAGATACCTTGCATTTTGCAATCAACATAGAATTCCGAATATTGGCAATTCATTTGTTGTCAATATTGGTTACATATTAGGTTATATTGACCTAATGTGTTGCCAATATATACTAATAATGATATAATAATTTTGAGCAATATTACCAATTTATTCACATTTTATTTGTAACCAATATTGGGTATATGTTAGCTATATATTGGCTAGATTGGTTCAACATATGCCAGTGTAACCAATATTGAATCAGTGTAACGTCACTGAACTGTGCTACTAGGGAAGGAACTTACGTATACGCAATCATTTAAAAAATAGGGGCCCTGGAAGTGCCGGAGAAAACTGAAAAAGATAATACATATACATACATACACATACACACATACATATATATACGCACGCACGCACGCACGCACGCACGCACGCACGCACGCACGCACACGTATG